GGGGGTAACAAGGCTCAATGGGGTTTTGAGGCCCAGGTGGTTCCGCCCACCTCCTCCTCCTCGCTGGCAAGGCAAGCGCTGGTGCCAAGGATGGCCCAGAGTCCCTCTGCCGCTGTCGCCGGAAGGGAGATAGGGCTCGATGGGGCCTTAAAGCCCAGGTGGTTCCGCCCTCCTCCTCCTCCTCCTCCTCCTCCTCCTCCTCCTCCTCGCCGGCAAGGCAAGCGTTGGGGCCAAGGACGGCCCAGAGTCCCTCTGCTGCTGTCGTCGGGGGAGAGATAGGGCTCGATGGGGCTGGATATGTCAGATCTGGAGTCAGCTGGATATGTCAGATCTGGCTATGGTGACATCTCATTTAGACTACTGCAGTGCACTCTCTACATAATTGGATGTAGAAGATGGTTGCTGTCCCTCAGATAATTGGGGGGACAGAAGCAGCATAAATAAATAAATAAATAAAAATATATTTTTTAAAAAATTTAAAAATATGCATGCACACTCTCTCAGCCCCAGAAAAGCCATGGCAAAACCCCTGTGGAGATTTTGCTAAGAAAACCACAAGAACAAGTAATAATAACAATCAATATCATCATGGTGGGCGGCGGTGGCGGCGCATTCGGCCCCCTGAGGCCTTAGGTTGCCTACTCCTGCTTTATAGAGTCCTCTACAAGTTGGGATCAGGTTATTTAAAATGTAGCATTTAAAATCCTCAAGATAAACCCTTCCCTCTTGTCTCATGCATGTATCAAAAGTGAATTTGGCAGGAAGTGTTTTGGCTGCTTGTGTTTTGAATTTTTAAAATGTTTTCATTTTTTAAAAAAAGACCTTATCTCTGTTTTATTATTGCTAGCTGTCTTAGTGCTATTTTTAATGAAAAGGAAAGGCAAAAAGTAAATAAATAAATCATCAGTGTAGTGTAATGTTTAAAGTGCTAGACAAAGTCTCAGGAATGTGTGTGTGCACGCGTGCACCCCTTCAAGTTGTCTGTCAACTTATGGTGACACCGTGAATTTCAAATGGTTTTCTTAAGCAAGAAATACTCAGAGGTGGTTTTGCCAGTTCCTTCCACTGAAATATAGCCTGTCCTTAAGTCATTTAGACATGGAACTTGGTAAGTGACCCTGGGCCATTCATTAACTCTTAGCCTAACATAATTCACATGGTTGTTGTGAGATGGGGAGGGTCTACAGCTTCCTGAGCTTCTTCGCAGACTTACAGGTTATAGCTGTAAATAATAATTAATAAAAATACATCCTTTCCAAAATAAAAGGAGCATGTGATTTCTGCATTAATTAATTGTGCCACTCAACCAACCAATTAATAGCTCTACTAATTTCATATTTTTATATTTATTATGTTACAGTTTGGTCATTATTTTATTAAAGTATGCTTTAGGGGATGTTTTTATTTAAGTTTGTAATTCAGTAAAAAAAAAAAAAAAAAAGAACCACCAAACTTTACAGCAAGTATATTTCTATTGTAACCAGTAAGCCCTAGGTGTAAAAATAAAATGATAACTCGTATCAACTTCTAGAGCAGTAATAGGAACCCAGTTTGCAGATCTCTGGAGTTTGGTGGCATGTTTTGTTCCCTCCACAGTGAGGTATGTTAAGATGAAAGGGTCCCCAGTGAGTTTTATGGGTGTGTATTTGAGCCCAACAGGCTAGCCACTGGCCATGCTGGCTGGGGCATTCTGGGAGTTGTAGTCCAAAAAAGAAACATTTCAAACCATATTATCATATTAACGTAACATACTACACAACTTTGTATCCCTTCCCAATAAGCACAGGTGCCTGCTACACAACCTTATTAGTCATATAAACCCAGCTTCCATATCCTTTTTTTAGTTTTGCTCACTTTCCTCCTTGCTTGCCCCACATTTGTTAATGAAAATTAATCTTTTAACTTTTGTTGACTATATTTATACAGTACTGTTGTCCTCCCATTTTTTTTCTTCCATTAAAGCTGTGTGATCTGTTAGCCTGAAAACTAGAGACTGGCAAGTCACCCAGTCATCTTCATAGCTGAATAAACATTCATTTTCAAAGTTGACTAAATTATGTATTATACACAGAGATGGAAATATCCTTCCATGGCTTTGTGAGAAATAGTTTGGTAGAATGTGGGTATTTTGCCTTATATAGATGGTCATATGGAGCCCTTAGCATTGACTCTTCCAAAACACAGTTTCAGGAAAGGACACGATAATGCTAATTTTTCAAAACATTTTGTCTTGTTGTCCCGGTTCTATAAACAGGTACACCAGTGCTTTTCTCTCTTGCCACAGAAGTTGCTAATATGTGTAAGTATTTAGTAGGCTAAAATAATTACTGATCTTCCTGTCATCAGAATGCAGGGGGATCAGGTGATTGTAGCAAAAAGACAGCAGGAGCCACCAGTAATAAATGTCAGCCTTTATTAATGGGAACGAATTAACTTTGTTTACTGTCAGTTGTTTGGCATAGGCCCTAGGAAAGTTTCCAAGAGCGGTACAACTTAAAGAAATGTAAAACAGGTAGAAGCTAAGATTAATTAAGCATCAATTACTTGATCACCCATCACAAGCAGGGGTATCGGGCATACAAGATAACATCAACCACTCTATATAGGTAAAGGGATAGGATATTTTCTAGAGAAAGAGGGCCATAGAATAATACTCAGAATGGTACTCCGCTTCCACAAGTGTCTCATGCTACCCAAGCAAAGTATCTGGGATCCTAGTATTCATTAATATTTGGATTCTAAACAGCAGAAGCTTTAAATATAAGATGAAGGAAGTCTTGACAATTGGGTAGACTCATGTTGTTGTTTTTATTTATTTATTTATTTATAGCAGTGATGGAAATAGTATTGCACAAAAGTACTCATCACCCATGAGTATGAGACATGCTGCCTAGGGCCAGGAAAAGCCTGGAAGGCTAGAGGTTTTTCCCACTCCAAATTTATAGGCTGTCTTACTTTTCACACAAAGGTTTCATGGCAGAAAGCCCTGTTTCTCTGTTTTTTTGTTTTTGTTTTGTTTTTTGTTTTGTTTTTAATCTTTACAGCAGCCTTGTGATGTAAAGGTCTCAGTTTTTCTTTGACAAATAGGCAAATGATGCTGAAAGAAATATACTTTTCTGAAGCTACAAATAATCGGAGATGGGACTTGAACCTAGGCTATAAACCAGGGGTAGGCAACCTTTTTGAGACCTGGGCCAGTCCCCTGAAATCCTGGTCTCCGCCAGGCCGAGGGGGGCGGGAATGGCGGCACGCGCCCTCGCGTGCGCACCCCCATCTCCGCCCATGACCCCCCCGCGCACAGCGCGCACGCCCTCAGCTGCCGACTTGACACATTTGCGCATGCGCAGTACTGCTGCGCATGTGCAAACGCGTCGCGGACGCCATTTTGGAAATCAAGTAAGTCTGGCAACCTGGACCCCTGCCATAAACCAAGTAGACACAATAGCTCTCCAGTGGGTCATGTTGATTCTCAAAGCTTATTCATTTTCCACCCATGGGTCCCAGTCCCACAGCAAGATTGTTTCTGCAGAGGGGTGGGATAGAAATGATGATGATGTTATCAGCAGGCCAGTGATGATCATTGGAAGTGTGAAAGTGACCCACATTTCCTGGGGCTTCCTGGTCTGTTTTTGCCATAGAACTAGGCAGTGAAGTTCTGAACAGACTGAAAGACAACATTTTTACTGAAACACTAAGAAGAAATTATCATCACTACAACTACCAGTATTACTGCTACTACTTTCAGTTACCAAATTCTAACAGTGGTCTGAGAAAGATTGTTGAACAAAGATTTAGTAGTATTCTTCTAAGAAAAGGAAATCCAATAGATTATTTTGACTACTAAATTAAAGGCTTCTGTGCTTGGGGATCAATATTATTGTCAGGGTAATCATGGTGAATCAGCTAAGAGACTCTTTTGATTTCACATAATGGATCTTGACTGAAATATGTGTCTGTGAGATTTTTGATTAAGTGTTTTATTTCATTCATGTTTTATTAATATTTTAAAGTATTTCTCTGATAACCAAAAAAAGGAAAACATTAAAACAATGGTACAGTACAGTTTCTTTATAATATGGTTACTAAACTGGCAAAGAAAATTTTCTGTCAACTTATATTGATAAGCTATTGAAAAGCTAGGGATTGCTCTCAAAGACATGGGAGAGCCACTAGATTTGAGGCTCCTGATGATAAATCTAGTAGGACAAGAGACTACAGCTAGAACAGAAAATGGAGAAACAGAATGGTTCACGATTGGCAAGGAGGTCAGGCAAGGCTGCATTTTATCACCTACTTATTCAACTTGTATGCAGAAAATATCATACGCAGAGCAGATTTAGATTTAGAAGAAGGAGGAGTAAAGATAGGAGGAAGGAGCATCAATGGTCTAAGATAAGCAAGTGACACCATACTACTAGTGAAAAGCATCATAGATTTGGAACAATTACTAAGGAAGGTCAAAGAAAAAAATAAAATTAAAAAAAAACAAAAAAACCAGGCTTGTTGCTGAACATAAAGAAAACAAAAATAATGACCAGGGAGGAGCTATATAATTCAGT